CACATACACACACACACACACACACACACACACACACGCACACACACACACACACACACACACACATGTTCACACACAAATACTAATACGCCCCAGAAAAAAAAATTCTTTTTTTTTTTCCATTCCTTCATTGTTTCTTTATTACACACACACACAAAAAAAAAAAACTAAAAACGAAGAATACTAAGAACTGGCAACCAAAAATCCCCCCCCCCAAAAAAACTTTAAAAAAAAAAATTATTTTTCAATTTCTCTTCTCCACCTTTTCTGTTTTTTATTTTTTATAATTCTAAAAAATGATCTGTTTCCAAAAAAACAAAAATGGGGTTGTAGGGCTTGAAAATGCCTACTACATATTTTTTACCCATTATTTTTTTCAGGAAAAATCTCGTAAGTTCATGTCCGCAACGCGACCGAGGCCAGTCGCGGCTGCGGACATGAATATGGCCGCCCTCCGAGCTCAACCCCGCGGGCGCGTCCGCGGGTGTTTCATAGCCCCCTGGCACCCCCCAACGGCCCCTGGCACGTTCGGACGGGAACCGTCCGTATGCCCGTACGGGCGTCTGTCCGTGCGTACGCACGCGCCGTACGGAGACCCCCCGTATGATGTACGAGGGACGGCACTGGGACCATCTACAGACTTACTTGGAACCACAAGCTGAAGCCTGGAGAATCCAAGCGAGGATAAAAAAGGACAACACAGAAGGAACCATGGCTAAAACCTTCTTCCAAAAGGCCAAAACTAGAGCTAGACAAAATGTTGTGGCATCCTTGCTCCACCTGTTCGAACCCCGCCAACTGGAGGCCACCAACCCATACGGGATCGTCAACTACGGAACCAATTATTACCAACGTCTTTTCACCTCTGAAAATGGGCACTAGGGTACTAAGTCCCTCGATGAGGCCCAAACTAACATGCTTCAGAACATGTCTGCTTTGCTATCTCAACAGCAGAAGGAGGCCTTGGAAGAGCCACAGACATCCCAGGAAATTATGACAGCCCTCACAAACATGGAAGACGAGAAAACCTCGGGCTTGGATGCCTTTCCTAAGGAATTCTGACTAAACTTTTGGCCAATTCTAAACGAAGACCTCGTGAAATATATCTATGCAGTTCAGGATGAAGGCCGCTTTGGCAAAATCTTGAGCCAAGGTCCTACTTTGTTATACAAGAAAGGAGACAGGGCGGAAATAAGGAACCATAGGCCAATCACCCTCCTCCCCGTGCCCTACAAGATGGTGGCAAAGCACGGTGCAACAGCCTACAACCCAACATTTCTCAACTTGTATGCATGGACCAAACAGGGTTCATGCCTCATCATAACATCCAAGATAACACACCTGTTAGTCAATGAGACTATTAACTTATTAAAGTACACATGCCAAAGGAAGGGGGAACCGGCCTGCMAAAAAAAAAAAAAAAAAAAAAAAAAAAAACGCACACACAAACACACAAACAAAACACAACAAGAAAACACAAAAAAAAAGAAAAATCATGCCAAGTAATGTGATTTCAGCCTCCCACCCAGCAAACCCGTTCCCCCCAACTTCCCCCTTGCCCTTTCCTTCTCCCTTTCCCTTCTCCTTTTCCCCTCCTCTCTCTCTTCTCTCCCTCTCTCTCACACACACACACATACTGTAACATACATACTACGTATTATGCCATATAACTTGATATAAGTACTCATCTGCGACTGCCAGCTCGCAGCTGATAGCTGGCCTCCCAGGTCAGCGCTTTCTGGTACTAGTCAAGCAGTCAAGCGGGACTTGAACCTGTACGCTCTGGACTCAATCTGGAAGAAGACCGTGGCCTATTTTTCAGCTAATTACTAATTAGTAAAATCCGATGGTGGGATGACGTCACATTCATTGCAGCCCGTGTGAGGGCGGAGCCGCGGAGAGTGTCATTTTCATCCACTCGTCGTTTTCCAAGCCGGAGGAAATGGAAAATGACGGGAAATGAATAGCGATGGAGGCAGGGAAGTGGAAGGAGAGGAGGAGGACAGAATCCTATGGAGATGGAAGCGGGAAGGTGGGGAGTAGAGGAGGAGGAGAGAAGATGATGGAGGTGAAGAGGGAGGAAGGAAGACGAGCAAGTGGAGGAGGAAAGGTGTCAGGAGGAGGAGGGGGTTGTGTTGCTTTTTACCTCGGCTATGGAAAGCAGAACTGGCGGCGACACAAGAGGAGGGAAGGGTTGACGGCAACCAGGAATGAACATGGACATCAAGAGACCCCATTTCAAATTCGAATTCTGACAGCGCCAACATGTGGGGCATGCTGAAAAGATGCCTGCCTGGTAGAAATGCAGATGCGGAAAGTAGAGCCTCGACCTCTGCTGCCAACGCCCGAGGGCATACGGCAAAGTTGCCCATGGCTGGGAAAGGGGCAAAGTGTCATACGCATATCTTTTAGGGGTATTTGACGAAATACCCCAACTTTCAGAGGCATTTCAACAATTTTCCCATTATATATATATGTATATGTATATATATGGGGTTGTATATCCTTTTTTCCTCCCCCCATAATATTTGCTCCCCCCCAAAATGGCTGCAGGCTCCGGTCGGGGGGGGACCGGGCCTGTCCAACTGGAACAGTCAAGAAACGACTGCCCAGTTGGAATTTGGGCCCCCAGTCATACCAGGGTGACAGATAGTGTCAGCGCTCTTACCCTTGCGGATAACTCATGGACCATATGGGACAATGGCGGAAGGGTGCACGCAGCGGGAAATACCAACTCTTTCAACCACCAAGCGGTAGAACATCACTCGGTCTGCCTTGTCCATCAGGAACAGTACGTCGACGAGTACTCGCAAGCACCACTGCCTCGAGAGAGAAATCTGGCCGCACCTCCTCTTCCCCTGTGCATGGTCAGGAAGCATCCCCTACATGTGCGGATCGGACAGATTCTACCATGAACAGTGAAGGGACTTCTCCAGGGGATATAGACTGTGCCCTCGTCCCGTTGCGCCGTCATACAGGTACAGTTGGATTAGCATGTACACGGCATAGCCTCTGTTCGGAACACTATGAAGGGATGGTCGCTCACAGCCTCTGCCACAAAAACTGCGATCCTTTGTCTTGTGCTCATCTATGAAACCGCGCGTTCATTGAACACGGGTTTTGTGTTCAGAAACTGAACACTTTGAACGCGCGTTCTCAACTTGAACGGGTTTGTGGCTATAAAGAAACGGAAAATAAACAACGAAAAAGAAACAAAACGAAAAAAAAAACTTACCTGCATCTGTGTGTGTTGTCCTATTCGCTGTACACTTAAAAAAATGCATGACTGTGCCAGACTGTTTCGGCGGACTTTCACGGAGTCTATGTGTGTGTGTGTGTGTGTGTGTATGTGTGTGTGTGTGTGTGTGTGTGCGTGCGTGTGTGTATGTGTGTGTGTTTGTGTGTGTGTGTGTGTGTGTGTGTAGAAGAGCAAGCTCCTGTGTGTGTGTGTTTGTGCGCACTAGCGCGCAGTTCACACACACACACCCACACGAACACACACACACACACACTCGAGCTTTTTTTTTTTTTCGCCCCCCACAACTTCGTCTGCCTCGTCTTCTTCTTCCTCCTGCTCCTCTCCCCCTCCTCGTCGTCCTCTTCTTCTCCGCCATCCTCCCTGTCCTCCTCCTCCTCTGAGAATGTGCCACGTGGCACTCGCTGTGTTTTTCTGTTTTTTTGGACCCGCCATAACTTCCCTCTTCTCCTCCTCTTCTTCTTTCTTGTCCTCCACGTCCTCCTCTTCCTCTTCTTCTTCCTCTTCCACCACATCTTTCTCCTCCTCCAAGAGCCGCTGCTGGCCCCAACGCCACCACCACTGCCTATGACGTCTTTAGCGCTGGCCCCAACGCCGCCACCACTGCCCTCGACCTCGTGACCAATGCTGCTCCCCGGGTGCTGCAAGAGCGATTTTGTAGATGATGAGGGATTCAGACTAGGGATATGACGTTAGATTGCGATGGCCAGTTAATCCCCTCGGTTGAGGGCAATCAATGCTGCTCATCGGATTAATGATGTGTGCCTGTGTGTCGATTCCGGTGATCACTCATGTTTATAGTAGGATGGACACGTGGCACGATTACATAACTCCTGTTTGTTTACAAACTACCCTTCCTAAAATGTTAAGGGACGCTGGACCTGGTTTCCAGCAGGTGTTGCTCCCCACCAATAGAGGGAGCCTCCCCGAGCATGCTAGTGGTGTCTGCCCTTATCAGCACCCCTAGCATTCACTCTGGGTGTTTCTTAAACAAAAAAACAAAAAAAAGAGATTATTTTTCTTTTCTTTTCTTTTCTTTGTATTTTTTTTTCCAACCAGCCAATCAATCAATCAATCAATCAATCAATCAATCAAACAATGCAGCCAATCAATCAATCAATCCATCCATCCACACACACACACACACACACACACACACACACATTTGTTCTTGGGGCAAGTACGTTGAAGTCACAGGTGCAGTTCCGAATGGGCAAAAACATCAGTCCGTAGGCAGGTTTGTCAAGTCGGAGTTTGTAAAGGCAAGAAAAACAGCTGGCGGCACTTGACCCATGGGTCATGTCCGAATTCAGCAGTTTTGTCATCTTCTGGACCGGTTCCTTCCCAGGTACCGGGCCGTTCCGTTTCATGTGGGGTTGAGTGGGGAACCCCAGGCCTCGAGACACATCGCAGTCAGGGAACCGCACCCCCAGTTTTGGCAACGGACAGCCAAGTGCCTGAGGCCCTGAGGGAACCGCAACCCCAGGCCTCCGCCCGGGAAGTGGTTGGTTCGGTGGTGAGTGCTCGTCACCCCCGCCCCCCGGCTCTCTCTCTCTCTCTCTCTCTCTCTCTCTCTCTCTCTCTCTCTCTCTCTCTCCATCACACACACACACACACAAAAAAAAAAAAAGTGTGGCAGTGTACACTTCCATGTTCTAGCGGTAGATTCATTCGATTTTGATCATCCTATCGATGTAAGTACCATGCAGCCAGCCGCGAGGCTGAAGACTTGTTCTCTCTCTCTCTCTCTCTCTCTCTCTCTCTCTCTCTCTCTCTCTCTCTC